GACCAAGCATGCACATAGAAGGTTGATGTTCCACTACTCTGAAAATATTAATGGACAAGTCTCAAGATATATGAAGCAGGAGGAGGGAATACCAAATGCGTAGAAAAAAACCACAGAGATTGTTATTATTGAAGAAGTCAAATGAAAATATCAATAACTATTTGTCTATAATTTTGCCTTCTCTGCAAAATCTTCAGGAGAGTAACTTACATACATACAAAGAATATCCATAATGGAGATGTAAGAAGGAACTTTTTTTTTTGCAAGTAGCATTCTAGACAAGACTACATCATTACAGTCACACAATTAATGAAAAGGTGCAGAGAATACAAAATCCCATGATACTATTGACTACAAAAAAGCATTTTATTTGATAAAGTAAAATGCTGTCATAATTGCAGAGGATGGAGGATAATGGGGCATGTTTGTAGGCAGCAGATAAGGAGCCAGTAGATAAGGAGAGGTTGAAAATTAGGGAGAGGGAAGGAATGATCTTGAAGCAAAGAGAGAATGGTCCTAGAGGTTATGAGAAAGCATAGAATCATAGGCATAAGTATAGGGATTGTCTTTGATAAGAAGTAATATTCTTTCCTCAGAAACAGCAATGAAAGAGTAAAGAATATAAGGGATGATATTGAATGTATTTGAAATCTAGATTTGAGGAGGAAAGGTAGTTTACAACAGATGGTATCAATTTTTACCCAGTAAATTATGAGACAAAGTCTGTTGAGGTTTAGGGAATGGGATGGGTAGTTTGAGAGCAGAAGAAAACATTTGGAACAAATGCTTTAGAGAAGGTGATATAAAGTCAATAAAAGAAGAGTAAGAGGATTTCTGTGCAGCACAGAAGGCCAAGTTGAGGTTAAATAACAAAAATCTATGGTGATACAACCACTTAGCTGGGTTGTATGACTTCTTCCAGCAGCGTTCAGCAGCAAATAAGGAGCAGCAGAGAAGTAGGGTGGCATGAATAATCCAGGGTTGGGGTTTGGAAGGGCATAAGCAGTGACTGAATGAGGAGGCAAGAGATTCAAGGGGAGCAAACTGTGTAAAACTGAACTGATTAGCTATCATGTCCAGATTTGGAAGGAGAGGAAAAAAGCCCAAAACTAAGGTGAGTATCATGGACCACAGGGAAAGGTATATTGACTGCATGTTGTAATGAGGGGAGAGGACAAGTTTAGGAAAAGTTAAGCATAGCGAGAGCTGGAGGGTTAGGAAATAATGATTATACTGAAGCACTTCAGAGTTACATTGATGCCTCCTCAAAAACCTGTATATCCAAGCTTCTCAGCCTCCTCAACTCCCATAATTTGTACGTTTACTCCACTTCAGCTGCACACAGGGAAGGTGCTGTCATGAATGGCTAAGAGGGAACGTGGGAAAGGATAGAAATTATGAAAAAATAGGAATGATGTGAAGTCTGGCATTATCAGATCTCAAACTATACCACAAACCTATAATCATCAAAACTATTTTTTTTCCTGGTTAAAAATATTAAGGTCAAAGGAACAGACCAAGTAAGCAAGATGCTGATATAATCAGACATAGCAGTAATGTTCAATAAACCTAAGAGGACAATCAGCTGGCATAAGAACTCCTTATTCAGTAAGAAACTCTGGGAAAACTAGAAAGTAGTTTAGTAGATATTAAGTTTGCACCAGCATCTATTACCGTGTAACAAAAAATTTCAAATAGATAGAGACTGATCCTATGATGTCACTGTCATAAGGAATTCCATGATGAGGAAACTTCTTTTAATGCTGGTCGACATCTTTTGTGCAATTTATAGTCTTGGAGAGTTGCCTAAAGCACTGAGAGGTTAAATGATTTGCCCAGGGTTACAGACTGTATGGAAAAGAGAGAGGATGTGAAGCCAGGTTTTCTTGGCTCCAAGATCAGCTCTCTAACCACTACAACTGTGCGTCCCCTCAACCTACTCATGAAAGTCATAAAATATTTTAAAAATAGAAAAATGGAATTGTAACTATAGCTAGGGAGAAGATTCTTAACCAAACAAAGAAGAGAGGTGCTAAAAAAGATAAAACTGATAATTTCAAATACATAAGTTAAAAATCTTTTACACAAACAAAATGAATGAAGATATAAAAAGAGGATCTGTTCATTGAGGAAAAAATCTTTACAAAACAAATATCTTTGATAAAGGTTTGTTATGTCCAAGATACAATAATACAGCAAGAATAAGAGAGCTGCTCACTGGAGAAAAATCACTGCAAAGTCACGTAAAATTCTAATAGTCAAGATATATAGAGGATGGATATAGATATATAAGATCAAGAGTCAGTCATTGCCACAAATGATAAGTGGCTGTTCCCCATTCCTGGAATGTCTTCCCTCCTCACCTCTGGCTTCCTGGTTTCTCTGGATTCCTTTAAGTCCCAGCTAAAATTCCACCTTCTACTGAAAGCCTTTCCCAAGCTCCTTTAATTCTAATGTCTTCTCTCTCTTGATTATGGCTAAGTTGTCCTGTATATAGCTTATTTCTACAGTTCTTTGTATATGGTCTTCACCATTAGATGTGAGCTCCTTGAGAAATATGATTGTCTGCTCCTATGTTTTGTACTGCCAGTGCTTAGCATAGTTCCTGGCCCATAACAGACGCTTAAGAAATGTTTAGTGACTGAACAAAAAGTCTTCAAAAGAAGAAAAGCAAACTTATCAATAGTCACATGTAAGAATGCTTCAAATCACAAATAACAAGTGAAACAAAAATTAAATCAGTTGTGAGAATTTATCTCATACCTATCAAATTGGCAAAGCCAAGCAGAATAAACAGTTAAATGTTGGAGTTGCTGTGGGACATAGGCACTCTATGAACCACTTGAGAAACTGCCAGCTGATAAAAAGATTCTGGAAAACAATTTCAAATTATACCAGAAATGTAACAATCCTATATGCCACTGAAACTAGTGATACCATTACTATCCCCAAAGAAATCAGACACATGGAAAAAGGTCATATATTAGATAAACATTTATGGAATCGCTTTCTGTTGTTCCAAAGCATTTGGAAGCAAAGAAGGAATTATCTGAACAGAATATGTTAAGTGGATTAAATGTAATATTATTACATCATAAGAAATAATAAAAATGAAGAATTCCTAGGACTTTTGGCAGACCTGTATGGCTCATAGCTAAATGAGCAAAGAGAGCATTTAAAAACCAGACAAAATAATATAAAAGAAAACACACCACAAAAGTTATCATAACTGTAATTGATGCACTGACCAATCCTGACTTCAGAGGAGTAACAATGAAGTCTTCTTGGCAGAGAAAAGAGACTACAGGTACAGAATGAGACGTATATTGTCAGAAAAGATCAATGTATTCATTTGTTTTTCCTGACTCTTCCTCCTTGCCACAAGAGAGAATTCTCTAGTGGGAAGATGGAGGGATTAGGAAGCAATCGTGATGTTAAAATAGAAGAGCATCAAAAAAGTTTTTTTTTTAAAAATCTCACAGTGCTTTTAATGACTCTAAGCTTTTAATGACTCCATACAACAAAGGCTCATCATTTTAACACTGACATTATTCTGGTGATTCTATTAGCTTATTAATCTTTAAATAATAGAATTTCTAAGTCTTCTAAGAATTGGAGGTATTAGTCACCCAAAGGAAAATAGAGACGTACCTGGTCAGGGTAAATAGAGTAATAAGAATCAGACTAAAGGGATCTCTGAAAGAAATAGGTGGGCCATTCATATACTGACATCTAAGAAAAACCTTTAGGTAGAGAGTGTTCCATGAGTAGCCTTGCAATGGTAAGAGATATAAAGCAAGGTCCCTAGTATTTTAGTCAGACTTACTTGGAGATTAATGAAAAAAAATATGAAAAAGAGTTGCAAAAGATGAAATGGTGTGTCTGGGTTATAATACGTACTGCTAAAGAGAGTAGACACACCCATAAAATCACAGAACCTTTTAAGTAGTGATATGAGTTGCTCTTGGGCCTCATAAGGTTTTATAGTTGATTTGGGTTTATGAAGTGGGAGGCTTCCAATATGAGGAAAAAAGAAAGATAAGGACAGGTTGAGAAACAAGGTCTGGAAAGTATCATTTAAGAAGAAAAGGGATAAGGCATAAAGATTATGTGAAACAATGGAAGGCAAATGAAATGGAGGGAACTTTAGTGGATTTTTAATGATCATTATAATGATTTATTAGAAGGAAAGAAAGACTGATTTCTAAGAATATAGAGAAAGACGTGAGAGTCAGCATGTTATAGTGAATAAAGAGCCAGTATTAGACCTAGCGATGACCTTAGTTTAAACTCTACCTCTGTAAGAGAGTGATTAGGCAAGTCATTTGATTTGTCCATGAAGGAGGGAACTCTTATAAGAATACAAGTTGTACGGAGGCTACCAACTTGCATTAGGAGAAGGAGTTTCCTCACTAAAGAGTTCCTCAGATAGATCCTGTCCCTATCCCTATGAGAAATAAGTATACCTCTTTGGGAAATAGGGTATAGGGCTGCACAAAATTTTGTCAGACTCTAACAGGATGTGCTAAATTCAGCCTAACTACAAACTGTCATTTCTTAAGAAAACAAATATACAAAGGGAAATCAATAAGAGTACTAGACATTTGGCAGAAATAGCTTTAATTTTTGGCTATATGTCCAAAGCTTTATTTTTGTTCTTTTAAGTCAATTTCTCTGCACCTCAGTTTCCCCAGAAATAAGATGAAAATAGCTCTCTGTAAAATTGAAAGAAAGTTATAAAGATAACTACTTAAAATTGCAAGGACTACATGTACTAATGAGAAAAAATTATAAAACACTTGAATATATCTGAAAAAGTAATTAAATTATCACAAATACTAGCATTGTATTTCTAATGACAGGCTTTCATTACTCAAATTTAATCATAGGAGTATAAAATGCAAGAAAAAAACTAAAAAGGGGGAATAGAAGGCAAAAACTGTCACCGAGGGTTGATAAAATCCATAAGAAGTAAAAATGGGATATTTTCCAGACTTTACCTTCTGGTTCATTTTTGATGAGCTCTTCCATTTTTCTTTGTTTCAAGGTATCTACAACATCAGCTAAGCTGCCTTTGCGCCTTTCTGGGGTCCCTAGGGCTGTACTGGACAATGACTCTCCGCTCTGACGCCCACCTTCTTCTGCCTTCAAGGGTGAGGTAGATGAGTTATGTGGGGCAAATGAAGACATCATTTTATTGCCATCAACTTCCTGAAAGAGACCAAAAGATTAAGCCATTATTTCAAAGGCAGCAAAAATACTTACATCAGTTCATTATATTCTTTGTTATTCTGTTGCAACCTTTAAAAAAAATTTAAAAAAAATTGCTTCCAGTATAAAAGGAACAAAGCTACTTCATAAAAGAATTCATAGGCTAAGCAGAGCAGCCAAAGATTAGATCAATGATGAAAACAATAAAATGTGTTTTTCCCCTCTAATTGAGTACAAATATTTTATTTATACTGTTGTAATCCAGCTACACTGGGGGAAAAACTGTCTACTTAAAAACAACCACAACTTTAGGAACATTACTTTTCCCTATAATAGGTAAATGACTGGCAGCTTTTTTGTTTTTGTTTGTTTTGGCAGCGAGGTTGGTCACAGTGCATAGAATGCTGGGCTTGAGTCAGGAAGACCTGAGATCAAATCTAGCTTCAGACATTTCCTGGCTATGTGAACTTGGGCTAGTTACTTAACATCTGTCTCAGTTTTTTTATGGATAATAATAGCACTTACCTTACAGGGTTGTTGGGATGATGAAATAATATAATATTTGTAAAGTGGCACATAAGAGGCCTTTAATAAACACTTGTTCTTTTCTGCTTTCCTCTTAGCATACTGCCTGGCAAATAGTAGGCATTTAATAAATGCTTATTGATAGTTCAGTTGTGTCTGACTCTCCGTGAGCCCTTTCTGGGGTTTTCTTGGAAAGAATACTGGAGTGGTTTGCCATTTCCTTCTCCAGCTTATTTTACAGATGAGAAAACTAAAGCTAACAGGGTTGAGTGACTTGTCCAGGGTCAGCTTCCAAGTGTCTGAGGTCAGATTTGAATCTTGAAAGGTGAGTCTTCCTGCCTCCAGACCCAATACTCTACCCACTTTGCTACCTTGCTGCATTTGACATGAGCCTTAAAGGAAGATAAAACTTTTACAGAGTAGAGATGTGGAGAGAAAGTATCTACCAGGCATGGATGGCCAGGGCAAATACATGGAGATGATAGAATTAAGAATGAAATCAGGAATCATAAGATAGTCCAACAAGAAAAGGGACTGGACCTATGATTACTTCGTCATAAGGAACCCTGTGGTGAGGAAACTCCCCCTCCTGAGTAGGTTGGCTCTTTCTCTACAATTTCTAGGTAGGTGCCTGGGACACTAAGAGTTTTAATGACCTCTCCCTCTCAAAGTCAATATGTACTAAAGGTATGACTCAGGCCATTTATGGATCGAAACCATCTCTCTAGGTACTATATTATATTGCTTCTCAATAGTCTAATATGGTTATGAAAATTAAGTGTGTGAAGGAGAACGGTATAAAATAAGGTTGGGAAACAAGGGTGGATCCAGATTGTACAGAACCAAATGGCACATGGAGTTTCTTTATTTATTTATTTTAACCTATAGACAAATAAGGAATTACTGAAGGCGTCGGAACAGGAGAATGACATGACCAGACTTGACCCTTAGGAAAATTATTTTGGTACCTGAGAAACTATGTGAGTAGAAGAAATGTTGTTTTATATTATGTTAAAATTTAATGTCAATTTTTCTCTTTGTTATTGGTATATTGATGAATTGTTTATCCATTGCCTTAGGATCGACCTAGCTAAGTATGAAAATACTTATTAACAGGTTGGCCCCATGGTGATGTGTTTTGTTTTTTTTTTTGGCAGAGAAATTCCTGAAAACCACTTAGTAAGCTACAAATCTATATTAATGGAGAGATTATGCATTTGCAAAATCACAACTCTTATTGAGAGGCAGTGTGGTTTGAATGAATGAGCTCCAGTACTGTCTCTGACAATTCTTACCTGTGCGACCTTAGTCAATCACTTAACAGCTCAGCCTCAGTTTCCTCTTATTTAAAATAAGATAATAATAGCATCTACCTTTCAGATGTTTACAGATGAAATAATGTATGTAAAGAACTTTGCAAACCTTAAAACACTAAATAAATATAACACTAAATAAATAAATGCTGTTATTACTTTTGTTGTTGCTGCTACATCACAGAAAATGCAGAATACAATGAAATAACACATAAATAAAACTATTTGCAAATTTTCAATTCCTGATGTTAGCTACTATAATTAAAATATTATCTTTAGTATATTATTTCTAATTTAGGTAGCATCTTTAGGTTTTCTCTTTAACTTTTATAAAAGCAGCCATAAACAAAGGTTATCCTTACACTTTTGCTTGTGCAAAATCTCTCCCATTGCTACATTTATGGCCTGACATATATGTACATACTCTGTTACTAGATCACTAAAGAGTCATACATATTTAGAAGTGAAGAGGCTTTAGGTTTCATTAGTCCAATCCCCTCTATTTCCAGGAGAGGAAACTGAGGCAAAGAGCAGTGGAGAGACCTATCCAGAAACAGTAACTGCCAGTTAGTAGCAGGGCCACGTGCACTGACTGATTCTTACCACGCAACTCTTTCCACACATCACACTTGTATCCCAGATCAAAGCTGATATTTATTTTTTGGTCTACTCTTATGTATATAATTCATTTTTTTATTTTCCCCTTTTCAACAAGGTATCAGTACACTTATATTAAATAAAAAAACACAAGAAGAATATACTCTAACACTTGTATTGTCATAGTTTTGCCAGATTTTCTTATCAAAACTTTTAACAAGCTGTGGGTATTTTTAATACTTAAGACACAAAATATTGTTCAGTGATTGTCAATAGTAGTTATGCTGTGATAATAAGAAACTAAGGCCTTATTTTGTATAGGTTATTATTGCTCAATCTCTCTCTCTCTTTCTCTCTCTCTCTCTCTCTCCCTCCCTCCCTCTCTGCCTCCTCTTTCTCTTACATTAAGCTCTTCTTAAAAGAGCTATCCTTAATTCCTTAATAAGTGAGCCATTCATCTAATATGTATTGTTTGACTCTATCTCTAACATGAAAAGTTTCCACAAAGATTAAATGCCTGTGTTAATTAATTTGATGATCATCAAATTGATATGTTGTATCTCTATTTATACTTCTTAAATTATTGATTAATTTTATTTAAATGCTGACTACTATTCTTATTTTCTTATTAGTACAGCAAAGCTATGTCTTGTTGAACCTGGAAAGGTAATAAATCACATTTATGTATGCATTTTTGTTCTCAAGGCATGTATGTGTGCACATGCACGAGTGTGTGTGTGTATGTGTGTGCCTGTTTCTGTGGTGTATCTTAATAACTCTTTGATGTAAGAGTCTCTAATAAAGGCAAAACCTATAAAATAAGCAGGATATTAGATTAAAAACAGAAATGTCATCACAGAGACAACATGCTAATATGCTTTTTGTTTATGGGCATTAGTCATGATAATCACATGGCTCACACAGATGTACTACTAGATACATATTAAATTAGGACTTTAGTCTTCACTTGGAAGGGCGTCATTAAACATTTTAAAGATGCTTTATATCTTTGTGCTAAAATGAATGTTTTGACCTGTCATACAAAAGTTGTTTCAATTTCTTATAGGAAAACCCTGTATTCTATATTTTATTGTTTTCTTACACACTATATTAAGGCTTATTTAAGTCATCCCTTCTCCCTGCCCAGAGGGCCGGCTAGTCAACCTCATAGGTGCCTCACCCTGAATACATGGAGCACTGAGGAAGGAGAGATATGTGAATGCTAGTTTTTTTTTTTAAATATACTTATAGTATGATTAAGAGTCTGGAGGATGGCCCAGGATTGTTAATTTGGAAATTTAGCCCATGAATAAAGTATGGTACCTTTGTTCTTTATTTATCCATAAGAGCTGTTATGAGCTAATGGCCCAGAAATTTAGAGGGAATTCCTTTAGATACTTGTATCCTTACTCATGGTTTATTATTCTGCATACTCTGTACTTTTAATTGATTCTCGTTGTTTTTGCTCTATACCCTAAAACCAAGCTTTATACACCAAAACCAAGTTTCCTCTTGCCTCCAAAATTATGACTTCATAGACAAGCATCCACCTGGGTCCTAATAGTCCCACAGAATCTGGGATCACAGATAATGTAATATTCTTCTCCTTGTTAATGGACTTGAGCAGTTGAAAGAGTAATTAGCATTCTAATCTTATGCCCTTCATTCCATTTAACCAATTATAATGTTCAAAGATCCTAAAGCATAAATCTGAAAGTTCTGGTAACAGATTACACCTTGTGTACTCTCTCTACCAATCACTGCTTTAGAGTTTCTAGGAAGTAAGGGAAAACTAATTAGCACATAGCAAAGATGAGGTCTTTCCTGCATGAAAGAAAAAACTGAGGATGCCATCTAAGAATTATGCTGCACATGGACCTGGAGATTTGAAGCATCCTATTTCTGAACCATGTCACTTGGACACTAGACATCCCCTTCCAAAAGAACCTCCAATAGACTCTTCCATTTTTGTTCCTGGGTTCTGATAGGTGAGTTATCACATTGCCTTGCCTGGAACAAGCCTTTCACATCACTTTCCTGCCATTTCCGGCTTCCTTCTTCCAATTCTAATTCCCCTTTATATATTGTCTTCTCTAATGGAATATTAGTTTCTTGAAGGCAAAGACTGCCATGCTTGATTTTGTTCCTAGCATTTAGGATAATACCTGGCATATAGTAAATGCCTATTTTATGCTCATTCATTCATTCATTCATTCATTCATTCATTCATGCCTTTCTGAGGCCTCTATTGGCTATACAGAGTATCCTTCAATAATTCTCACTTGGATTCATGTTTTAAGCATAGCTCTCTCTCCTTTCTCCTAGCACAGATGCTTGTTTGCCATAGCATCACTCATTTTTTTAGAGGCATTTGCTGACCCCTCTAAACAGAGAGTTAAAAACCTTGCACAAGAATTTGATAACTTATTTTCATTCTAAGAAAACTTCTACAAAGCTAGAGAAATAGAACCAACTCATATACTAGACAGACATATTAACCCTATAATTAGATTAATTAGATTGAAATAGACTGAATTTAGATATAGATACATATTCAAATGACAA